AACCACTTAGCGGGTAAACTAACCACACCTAATGCAAAACGGGTGCCACAGGGAATCTCTATAGCTATGTGTGTGCCTGAGTGTGTGTGTGTGTGTGAGTGTGTGCGTAGTAGTCCCAAGGAAATGGGGCGCCGTTTGCCAGGACTAGAGAGTTGCTGCTGCCGGCGCTTCCTTATGGCTTTCTTCAGCAACTTTCAACAGCAAATCCAACAAAGGGCCAAGGCAGACGCCACATTCATGACAGTCACCCACTTCCTATCCCCTCTCTCCCCCCCGTCTCTATGTGCTGCCCTGGCAGCCCCATTCGTTGTCAGGAAGAAGCAGAAGTTGAAGTCAACCCAAAATGGAAGCCAAAACAGGAAGTAATCTATAGTCGCCCCGCCATTGTTTATTGTTTAATTTTTAGTCAGCTTTATATTGTTGTTATTGTTGTTGTTGTTGCTGCTATTGCTGCTCTCCTTGTTGTTGTTATTGTTGTATGGCACTCCGCCTCTGCTTGTGCTCACTTTTTTTTCTTTTTTTTTTTTTTTGCGTCTGCTGCTTTGCCTGCTGCTTCGTTGTATTATTTTCTATTGTTAACAATTTTTGCATTTGCCCCGTTGCAAGTAGCAAAAACTTTTCAATGTGCCGCCATGGCTATTGTTCGCTGATACTCAGCCCCGCCCACCGGCCCAGCGCCGAGCCCCCTCCTCGTTTTCTTTATTTCTCTCTGTGTTTTTTTTTTTTTTGTATTTGAGCAAAAGCGCTGGCACTTGAGCAGCATAAAGGCAACGAGGTAAAAAGGCAGACAAAAGCCAAAAACCCGCGCACCAAAGACGTTGACAAGGCGACACTCGTGGGGCATCTAGCCCGGCCCCAATCCCAGCACCAGCACCAGCACCAGCTCCAGTAATGTTCCCACCCCTCCTTCACCAACCCCTCGCTGCTGCCTGTTGGCCCAGTCACAGTTCTAGCCAAGACAGAGCAGCCCGTATCGCATTTGCTTGGCTTTCGTTTTATCATCGGAGCAACAGCAACAACAACAGCAACAGCAACAACAATCGCAATAACAATGTCACCCAGTTTCCATGGCATTCACCACGTCTGACACTCCAAAGACTCCTCGGACTACCTTATAATTGCGTTGCGGTGTCTGCTGCTGTTCGGTCGAGTTATGCAGGGTCGCTGATGCTGGAGCAGGAGCTGACAGCCAGTAGTTAGCAGGAGTCGCCAGCGATTATGGTTATATGCTGTCAGACAGCAGTTCTCAGCCAAGCGAACCCAAGCCCCAACCCCAACCCAACTTAAGCGCTAAAGATAGATAAGTATATATATGCATATATATGTATATATCAAGAGATATAAGCACTACAAAGGGATTTCAAGCACCTACCCCACACAGGGGTCATATTAGCTCGTGCTGTAATAAATAAATATGGCATCAGAACTTATGCTAAAAACTAATATAGTATGCATATTAGTCTAGGTTTAGTATGTTTAAATAGTAACAGTAATCCGAGCAGAGGCATATATTATCGTGTTTTCTTTTAATAGTTATATATGGCATATGTAGACAAAACTCAGACTGATTTATAAGGTATATACATATGTATTAATAGTGCCTTTTCTAAGTATGGATAATCTTCTATAAAAATATTGTTTTTATTTTTGTTCATTATATAGGTAAACATCATGTAAAGATTTAACTGATGCTAAAGATTTTTTTTTTTTTTTTTTTTTTTTAATTTCACACTCCAAAATATCCATATAGCTCATATATAATAATGAAAACCAATGAAACTTTCTGATAATATTACTCAAATCCAATTGGGAATAAGTAACGGTAAACTAGAATGAGATCCCATTAGGATTATACGTTGACAACTTACGATGTGATAAGAAACTGAGATTGAAAATATACATAATCCAATTGAGATTATAGACTAGAATTGGGATTAGTCATAAATTGGAATTATAATGCAATGTTCGATTCGCCTGTTCATTGAAGGTTTCTTAAATATATATGTATTCACTACATTCACTTCATATATAGCCTATCCCATATATATCCTATCATACCAACTTACGATTAATAAGCTAAGTAAACTTCATATGCAACTGCTGGGATATTTCAGACTTCGGCTGTGCCGAACCTCAACAAGAATAGTTATCTAATTAAATGTTGCCTTCTCGTTTTTTTCTTTCTTTTAGCCAATTAGTTAATTACTTAACTCAATTAGTGAGCTATTTATAATCGAGCAAAAAGCCTTTTGACCTATTTTTGAACCCATTTCCGACAATCAATTACCTTAAAGCCGTGGAAAATATCACATTTTTCATACGTAATTAAACCGAAATGCATAAAAACATATTAACTTAAAAAATGGATATATATATATATTTAATTAGAGAAATTTTAGTTAACAGAAGAGAGAGAAAAGGAAAGAATTTAAATATAGTTCGTGGACAAAAATTGCATTCTGAATTGTTGTAAAAAAATGTTCTTGATCTAGTTTTTTTTTCTTTCACTTTTTTTTTTTTGCTATGTATTTTTTTTTTCTTTTTTGTTAAACATCCTTTTGGGATGTGCTTTAATTGAGCGTTATCTGTATATGGACAGGTGAATATGTGTGTGTGAGTGTATGTGTGTGTGTAGGTGTTTGTGTGTGATATTTTGTTTGCTGTATTTGGAAAACATATAAACAAATGGCTTAGACGCAGACAAATAGGACACTTGGGATAACGTTGGGAAGGAGATTTTGGGGTTTTTTTGTTTTGATATATTTTATTTCATTTGATTTCTTTTTTTTTTTTTTTTTTTTTTGGGAACATATAAGGATATATATAGTATTTCTTTTTAATTTCATTTGCTTTATATTATAATTGATTTTTGGTTTTGTTCTTCAGTTCAGTTACATGTAGAGATAGAGCTATATATATATTCAAGTAGCTGCTTTTGATACTGAAGACCTATTTTTTGTTGTAATTATTGTTGTAGTTGTTGTTGTTGCAAGTCTCGACTTGCTAACTAATTTCAGTTATATAATACTTTCATTATATTTGATATGAAAAATGAAAATATTTGCAAAATCGACAAACAAAACATGTTTCGTTACTCTCTCTAAATATAGTAGAAAAAAAAAAATACATTATATATATATTAGATGAGGTTTTTTTATATATATATATTCTGAAAATATTCGAGTAAAAAGCTTTGATCAAAACCGAAAAACACATAAATGTGAGAAGAAGAAAAGAAGAAGATCAATATAGAGCGTGGTATAGAGAGTGGTTGAAGTGATTTGGACTGGATGGATGGATGGGCGCAAGATTTGAGAAAAACAAAAAACGAAACGAAATGAGAAATTTGATGAGTCGAAAACCAAATGAAGAACCAAACTAGAAAAACAATTGGATTTGGTGGAATGACAAAGAAATTTGCTTAGTTTAATGGTGAACTTTTTTGTTGTTGTGGTAACGAGTGATACGATAAAGAGAGAGAAAGACAGATAGAGAGTGAGAGAGAGACAGAGCTTGAGAGAGATGGAAAGAAAGTTGGAGAGTATTTTGGTGTTGCGAGCGAGTGACTGATTCGTAAAACATAAATTCAACAAATGCACGATTGTATGTATGCTCATGCCAAAAATATCGATAACGAAATAATCGAAAAAATAATCGAATGAACATTTCTTGTGAGGTATCTGTGGAATCTGTTGTAGCTGTTGTTGTTGTTGTTATTGTTGTTGTTGTTGTTGTTTTTGTTTGTAGCTGTTAGTATGCGTGTTAATAGTTGTTAATCGTAAAATGAGCGAGCGGGCGAGAGAGAGAGAGAGAGAGAGGGTGGTGTGAGAGAGGGCGCGGGGGCTGGGCTGGGCTGGGGGCGGTGGGCGTAACAAAAGTGAATAACCAACTAAATACACATAGACACGTACACATAAGACATACAAATACAAATTTGAATACAAATACAAATACAAATACAATACAAATACAAATACAAATATATAGTTGGATTATATCCATAATATAATTTTTCTCTTGCAGTTGCGTTTCTTTTTTTTTTCATTTTATTTTTTACTTTTTGTTTATGGCCCTGTATAAATATAAATAAAAAATATATATGAATATATGCCTTTTAATGGAATTCCTTTGACAAGGAAAAAATGCGTGAGAGCAATCAAAAAAAAAAAAAATATATATATGTATGTATATATTAAAAAATATACATATAGTACTTCTGATATGTTTTCCCTGTATTTTGGCTTTAATTACATTTTGCTGGCATATTTAATTTGGGGCTTGGGATTTATTTTATTTACATCAATGAATTGTAAACTTTTGGGGCACTTTGAATGGTTTAATTGATAATAATCAAGTGAGAAATGAGAGAGTATTAACGAACAACAAATTTCAGGTATGTGTGTATGCATTGGACTGAGAACAGTTGGATGTGGAACGGAGCGTCTCGAGTTATAAACTACAGCAGAAAATACTACAGAAATTTAATGTATTTATATGATTCATATGGGATTTATATAGGATTTCCGATGACATATGTTTCTATGGGAAAGTACTGAAATAGTATTTCCTTGAATTTCTAATATTTTGCAGTATTTTTTCTGCTGTAACTTTTAACGAATGTAAAAAATTGTTTGTTTTCTTTTCTATTAACAATGAAGTATATAATAATGAATATTGGGCGAGATCTTTTGATTAGATACAAAAAAAAAGTCGAAAAAAATTAGATTGAATATGTTATGAAAGAAACTTTTGTATATTGGAAAGTTTTTGAGATGCATGATGCTAATGTGGAGTAAGAAAACTGAAAAACTCGATGCAGTTAGATGACTTTGAATGTATTGAACAGAAAATGGAAAATCAAACCAAAAATTGTTGGCGTCTACGAGGCTCAGGCCAAAAGAAATGACAAAAAGTATTTTTTTTGTTGGTATTTTCTTACGCCTGTATGTCCTTGCAAGTTAAAATTTTTTTTTTTTTTTTTTTTTATTTTTTCGACTTACCAAGGTGTGAACGAGCTCCAGAAGAGACTACAAGTTCACGAGGTTGAAACGTAGTATTTTTTTTTTTTTTTTTTGTTTTTGTAAATCAATTTTTTTTTTTTTTTTTTTTTTTTTTTTTAGGTTGATTGCAAGGCAAATGCAACAAGTTTTTTGTGTTGAAATTTGATTGATTTGGATTTTTTTTTGTTTTGTTTTTTTTAGCACACAACATGAAGGTATCGAGCCACAGCAACAGAGTAGGACAGTACACAATTAATTGACAGGACAATAAAAAAGAAATTAAAAGACAAAAATGCTTTTCGTTAACGAATTGAATCATAGTTGAGATATTTTTTTTTTTTTTAATATATACTTTTTGTTTTTTGGTATCGCTTGGCGATATATGTGTATGAGGCATACCTAGATGACTTTAGCTTAGCTTGAAACTAAAGCAATTGTTTAATTGAAATAATAAATACATTAAACGTTACACGTTAAAAATAAAAGCAAAAAACACATTTGACGAAACACACTTAATTTTTTGGTATTTAACATCTGGTATTTTTTTTTCTTTCTAGACTTGAGATAGCGTTTGGGCATCTTTGGACTTCTTTTTGTGGCGTGGGGCGGGGGGTTTCGATTGTTTGATTGCAGCGATTTACGTTTCGATATTCATTTTTAGTAGTATATGGTTAGTTGGTTAAATGTTGAACTTAGGATATCGTATGTTAATATTACTTACAAATCATAAAGAATACTGTCAAGAAAACCAACAAAATCAATTCGCTTTAGACACACACAGTTACGAAAAATGAGAGATACTTCTTAATCAAAAATGAAAAATGAAAATAATCGATACACACAGTCAAAATGGATTTAGTTTATATATATAATTGAATATATATAATAAATTTCCATCTGATTGTCAATTTTTTGTTAGTTTTCTTCTTCTGTTATCTTTTGACTCACAATCACAATATCGTAAAATGAAAAAACAACAACAAAAAAGTACACTTTCGACTAGTTGACCGTGGTTAATTATTTGGTTCTCGCATTTCGCATACATTTATCGAATATAGTTCCAGAAATATCAACAGAACTGAAAACAAATCAAACTGTATTGGAAACAAAGAGCAAAGAAATACGATACGAACCGAACCCAAGCAAATCAAACATAAATTCTCACTCACATCTCGGCGAGCAGAAGTTCGCTCAACTCTTAATAAATGAACGAAACAATGAAACTACTAGTTCATGATGAGGCGAAACCTCTGGCGAACCAAGTGCAAATGAGATCCAAAGAAAGAACTCAATGTAAACTGGTAAATATTTAGTATATATATATAGTATATATACATATAGGTAATATTTTATGACCAAGTTTAGTTCAGCTCTCTCTCTATATTGGTTAAAACACCTAAATATATCCTATGAAATCAAATACCTATATGGTTTCTTATGTAGTATATATATATATGGCAAGAGATCATTGTACTCATTATATTTTTTATTATGATTATTCTTGCACTTTTTATCACGAACGTTTGTATTTTTAGTATTTCATTGTCATCATATATAGATTTTTTTTTTTTTTTTTTTTTTTTGGGGTTAGACAAACACAAGGAGGTAAAACACTAGACAACACACATACTCAATGAAGTGCTATCATTATTTTCGCTTTGGATTTCTTGAAAAACAGTTTTAATATTTTTTTTTTTTTTTGGATGGACTCTTCATATTATAATAGACAAACGTAGTTTCGTAAAATCAAGGAGAAAGTAAAACAAATTGTAAACTTATAAGCAGTTTAAAGCAATACTAAATTTTAAAAAATTACAGAAATTATTTTCTTTTTGCTCTTTTAAAGCTTTGCTTTTTTTTTTTAAGTTCCTTCTACTTTTGAGGCAGGCAAGAAAAGAAAAAGCTCAAACTAGGAGATAATTTGGGCGCTCTAGGCGACATTTAGTATTTTGGTTTTCCAAATCGGTATTTTTTGGTATTTTTGTAAAACCAGAGTAACTTAGGGAACTGATAAAGTGGAAATAATAGAACTCAAGCACAAGTAGAATGAGACGAAAAAACGTAAACGTTAATTCAACACTTTGTTTCTTTCTGTTTTCTCTTTGGAAATTTTTCAAATATATTTCTTCATTTTTTTTTCAGGTCAGCTTGTAGTACGTCCAACGCATAAATGATAGACTCATTGAGGGGAGAGAGGCGTAAGGGATTGTGGGAATGTGATTGCGGGTATTTTGATATTTTTTTTTTGGTATTTTTTTTCAATTTTTTTTTTCTTTTTTTGATTTGTTGAGACTACTTTTGAATGTGTTTAGTTGAAAGTTTGAAAACATATGTAAACAAGTTTCAATAACAATTTTCTTTTGTAGAGGATTAAACAACTTTTGTGAAAGCATAAAGAAAAATCAAATATATATCTAGAGTTATATAATTATTATATATAGATATATATGCATATATACATATCATCAGATATGTATATACACATATATGTATATACACAATGTAAATATAAGATTTTTTGTGAAAGGAAAAGTGAATAAAACGATAAAAGCAATCATAAAATATTATAGAAAATTTGAGCTTTTTCTCTTCGTTGATGCAGTACCACAAAACGTAAGATTAGGCAGCGATATATAATGGCTAAATGAAAATCGGCAACAGATCTGATGATCTGAGACTCGTCTCTGTGGTGCATACATGAATGTACAGTTATTATATATGTTAGAGATATGCAGGTCTTTATATATATATTTATAGATATATATGTTGTAGATGTTTATATATATAAAATGATTTACAAGTACATTTATGTATACAAGCATAGAGTATATAGTATTATATACGCTTAACATATAACCGACTTCATCATCATCATCATCATCATTGTTATCATCATTATCATTATCATCATTTTAATCTTCTTATTCCAATGTCGCGGCACAACAATTGCTAATCGATAATAAGAAAACTAAAACTAAACCAAAACTCTTGAATCTTAACTGAAAGTAATCAGTAAATCACAAACTCGATAAATCGATAAGTCGATAAGTCGATAATATGTAAATTAAAAATTATTAAACAATTGCTCAATATATAAGCCTCATCCATTCGATATATTGTTGACCTAAACTGCGCACTAGGAATTAATACAGCATATATGGATATAAAAGGGCCCCGGATATAACGCTAATATAGATTTTGGCATTGTACTTACTTCTCGCTGTACTCGTCCATGTGGGCGTACGATTGAACCGAATTCTCCTCGATCAGAAACTTGACGCGCTGATAGAACGACGCCGTCACCGAGGGCGGCTGCTTGCGCAGCAGCACTTCGACTGGATCGTTGGAGGAGAGACACATAATGTGCTCGGAGCAGGCTGGATGCGAACAGCATTCGCTGTCTGAACAATCGGTCATACCATCTGCGCATGAATAGAGTTAGTCGTACACTTTCGTTTCGCAGCTCTGCCAAAAAGAGATTTCGTTTCGATTGAGTTCACTTACCGCCATCGTTATCAATGTTGTCCTTGCAGTTCATTTCCAAGGCTATGGAGCAGTCGCTGCCCGCCCAGCCTTCAATACAATCGCAACGATATTCGCCATTCTCCAGAGTGCACTGACCGTGCCGTGAGCAGCCGTTCTCGCAACCAGCTATAGGAAGAAGAGAGAAAGAAAGAGTGAGTGAATGAGTAAGTAGGTGTTTGATATAAACATTGAAAATTGAATATCAGGGAGCAGATAGAAAGATCTAGAGCAAGTATATCAGAAAGAGGAGATAGAGGGCAAGATTAAAGAGAGAAATATTGAACATGGTGTCTCTTCAGAGAAGAAAAGTAAGAGGGATAAGAAAAGAACTGCATATAAATTATTAAAAAGACAGAGAGAGAGAGAGAGAGAGAGAGAGCGAGAAGGAACGTAAGTAAGAGAGAGAGAGAAAAACAGAGAAGAAAGCTTAACATCGAGAGAGTTTAAGAAGAAGCAGCCTAACGACAAGTTTGCCACAGACAAAAGAGATCCTTCTCAAGTAGTGACAGACAGAGAGAGAGAGAGAGAGAGAGAGAGAGAGAGAGAGAGAGAGAGAGAGAAGCCTCTTAACGAATACAAAAGAATTCGATTTAGCAGGCTTTTATAAGCCCATCACATGCGAAAGATTGACAAATGTCAACGAATACCGAGAAGATCCGTAATCCAGCGAGCAAACAGCAAAAGTGAAGCAATCGAAATGCTGAAATCGTTTGTGAATTCCAGCGAATCGAGGCGATTAAAATTTAATGAACGAGCTTAAAGTAACAACGCGAGTAGTTTGTGAGCTGCAGCGGGCGCTTGACATTTTGTTGTTTTGTTGATTATTTTTTATTTCATACGTGCTGCGAGTGAAGAGCATTAATATAAAAATAATGTTAATGTTTGACGACTCTTCCAGGCGCGCTCAAGTGCGTCGTGAGTGGAGAGCGGGTGAAGGATATCATTCGGGCATGGCGCTTGAGATATTCGGGGCTGGGACTTGAACTGGGCTAAGGATGGGGACTGGAGTAAGGGCCAGAGCCAGAGCCAGAGCCAGAGCCAAAGCCAGGGCCAGGGCAAAAGTGCCCTTCGCACGCACATACACAACATCATAAACGAAATGTGGAGAAATCTACAAAACAGTAAACATAAAAAGCAAACGAAACGTAACGATAGATGCCACCGTTGATGGGCCTTCGTTTGGCTGGGCCTGGGGCTTGGATTGTGGATAGGTCTTGGGGCTTGGAGCTTGGGAGTTGCGAGTTGGGGTTTGGGGTTTATTTGTTTGTTCCACGACAGCAATAATAACAACAACAACAACAACAACAACAATGACATGGCAGCATTTGAGCATTTGACGCAAAGTTAATGTCACTTGACATGTGTCATTTGCAAAATGGGTAACCTCGACGCTAACTCAACTTCCGGTATGTTAAAAAGTTTGCGGCGCATAAAATGACTTCCTTGTCGTAACTGCCTTCCTGTTTACGACTCGCACACACACACACACCATGGCCTGCGCGCGTGTGCATGCGTGTGTGTGTGTTTGTACACTACACATATTGGCAATAACGTCAAGTGTTGCTGCCAATATTTGAACGATGTCTGCTGACGCTGCTGCCTTTGCACAAACAATTTACATGAGACCTCTCTCAGACAAGTATGTGCACGTGTGTGTTTCTCTCTGTCTCTCTCTCTCTCTCTCTGTGTGTGTGTGTATGCGTGTGCATTGGCATTATGCTAAGTTTACCACATGCAGAAATCTGTCAAAAAGTTGCATAGTTTCAGCCAGCACGAAACACGAAAATCCACTGCAATGCCAAAGCAAATGCCATTACGAAAACTTCGATTAGCCACGAGTAGCTCGATAGCTGTCAATAAATGCGTGGAATCGAAGGAACTTATGGGATTTGTAGCTGCCGGGTTCAGCTTACCTCAAGTAACTCGACTGTTCTAGCACCTTTTTAGTTGTAGCTTGGCAAACATCGAAGAATCTGAAGAACCTCTCAAATTTCCACGTATCCAAGCTCGTCTAACCCCAAGTAACTTGAGTGTTCTAGCAGTTCTTGGGCTGTACCCAAGTAATTCGACTGTTCTAGCAGCTGTGGGGCTGTAATTTGGTAAGGAATCTGTGAAATCTGAAGGATTCTCAAGTAACCAATCTCAACTTAACTCAAGTTTTCAGGTATCCAAGCTCGGCTTACCTCAAGTAACTCGACTATTCCAGTAGCTCTTGGGCCGTAAATTTGCATACGCAAGTTACTACGATAGCAGAGCATAGTTTGATAATCATAAACAGACTCAAGTAACTCAGATGTTTGACGTGTGTTTTACTTGAAACTCGGCGTGATTATTCCTTGTTACCTAACAAGCTTAGTTCTAAAACTAACTAAAATTTGGCTACTAAACTCAACTATAGTTCAGCCATTAAATGCTGGTCTCTAGAGCAGCTACCACAGCACTTAACCGAATGCAATCTTAACTCTTCTCATCAGCTAATAAAACCATGCCTCTCTTTATAACCATAGTTTTATAGTTCTAATCGCATGACATATATCTGAGCAAAATATATATGACATTTTTTAGCATTTTCCATGGCTGATAGTAAAATCTCGGCGCCGACTTTTAATAATAAAAAAAAAAAAGAACAGAAGGAAACAGAGAAAATAAAGAAAAAAACGAGAAATGCGACATAACTTAACGTAAGTGCGGCATAAAATGTCGACGACTATTTTGGGAAACTTTGCCCACATTAGATGTCACCTACTGATGGCGGAGGGGGGCATGAAGTGGGCTGCTGTGGGGCCTCGAGATTGAGAGACATAAAAATGTATCTAGATTTCGGGATTGCAGTCGTGTAATTTGTTACAAATCTCTGCTCAAATTCAATAAACTTTACCGCATTGTGTGTGTGTGTGTGTGTCGCGTATGTGAAGTGCTAGAGCAAGACAGATAGAGTGTGTTAGAGCGAGCCGGACTGCAAAGTCGTTAAGTACTTTCTAAAAATACAAGCATACATGCATGTATTTGTTAACGTGCTCGCATGTGTGTGTGCGTGTGTGTGTGTGTGTGTGCCAGGATATTGGGTGGCACTTTGTGCTTGTGCAAGCGTGACTCGCACGTCTAAGCTACCACTCCACTGACAAAAAAAAAAAGCCCCAAAAGCCCAGCCGCTCGCCCCCTTTGACACCGCAGCCGCCCTGCGAGGCGCTGCTGCAACACTTGAATCGATTCAAAACGTTTTTGGCCGTATGTTGTCAGAGGAAGTTCCCATTGGGAATGGCGTTCGACATGGCGGCTTCCAAGCACTACTATATATGGACGAAAAACCGGGAGGTCTGCAACTGGCGGACGGAGACGGCGGAGGTGGAGGCGGTGTCTGGGGCTGGGATAAGTGTCTTTTGCTTGGGCCTGAGTGAAATGACGTCGGAAGTTTTATTGGTTTTGCACACGTCAACGAAATGTAATACACACACACACACACACACATACACAGATAGAGTGTGTGAGAGAGAGAGAGAGAGAGAGGGGACAGAGTAAGCGCTATAGTGCGAGTGAGATAACTGTAGACAGGCAACATACGTAGACATGGCCCCCTTTGAGGCAGAACTATGTGTAATGCCATTACATGCATGCCTGAACCGCGTCGTCGCCGTCGCCAGGGTCTCCCACTAACACACACACACACACACACACATTTATATAGTTCGGTTTCTACACACAGCAAATGTTTTTGTAACATGACTGTTTGTTTTTAAAGTTTTAATCACTGTCAATCGATAGCTACTTATCATGCTGCACTGCAACAGCCAGTCAGCCAACCACTGAGCCACCCAATGCGGGACTCTTGGCCGCTTTAATTGACAGTTGCCAAAATAAACCCAAAACGAGAAGCAGCAAAAGCAAAAGTAAAAAACATGAAGCAGAAGAAGAAGACGAAGTGGAGAAAGGCGAAAAGTTGTTCAGCTGCTTGGTTAAATCAGGACGGGTAAAACTGTCAAGTGCAGAGCGTTAAGGCAGCTGGCACGCCCCTAGTTTTGGGTGTCCTCCTCTGTGCTGGGACACTTTTGCAGTTCGCTTGGCCAAATGGCGTAAACATGTACAAAATACTTTGGCGCAAGTGCAAAAAATATTGATAAAAAGCACGAGCAACAATAACAACAACAACAACTGCTTTGACTTGCAGGCAATATCAGCAACAACAGTCAGAGGGAGGATGACACAGAGTGAGAGGGAGATAGAAGGGTAGCGCAGCACTTGTCGCACGGAGATAGCGCAACTGTAATGTCGCAATGTTTTTGGTTGGCTTGACACAACGCGACAAAATTGTTGCTGCTGCTTCTGTTGTTGTTGCTGTTGCTGTTGCGAACTCGATGTGAAATGTGGAATGTCAGCTGCGGTTGCTATGCTTTCTATACTCATTCGGGAAAGTGTAATGAGTATATTAGCTTTGGGCACTGCTCGTCTTGCTGTTTGTCTGTCCGTTCCTCCCTTTTAACCGACTGACTGTCCGTCTGAATGTCCGTCTGACTCTCCGTCTGACTCTCCGTCTGAGTGTCCGTCTGACTCTCCGTCTTACTATCCGTCTTACTGTCTGTCTGATGTCCGTCTGACTCTCCGTCTTACTGTCCGTCTGACTCTCCGTCTGACTCTCCGTCTGACTCTCCGTCTGAGTGTCCGTCTGACTCTCCGTCTTACTATCCGTCTTACTGTCTGTCTGATGTCCGTCTGACTCTCCGTCTTACTGTCCGTCTGACTCTCCGTCTTACTGTCCGTCTTACTGTTCGTCTGACTCTCCGTCTGACTCTCCGTCTGACTGTCCTTCTGACTCTCCGTCTGACTGTCCGCCTGACTGTCCGTCTGATGTCCGTCTGACTGTCCGTCTGACTGTCCGTCTGACTGTCCGTCTGACTGTCCGTCTGACTGTCCGTCTGACTGTCCGTCTGACTGTCCGTCTGACTGTCCGTCTGACTCTCCGTCTGACTGTCCGTCTGACTCTCCGTCTGACTGTCCGTCTGACTGTCCGTCTTACTGTCCATCTGACTCTCCATCTGCCTGTCCGACCGCCTATCCGTCGATTGTCTGTCTGACTGTCAGTGCAGCTGTCTGTTCGTTCGACTGTCCGTCCGTCTGTCACATCGCCCGTAAATATTTTTGTCACATTTTGTCGCTATCGATACTAATTTTCGATGCGGAATATATATATAATCGGTGTGATAAATAGTCAAGACTTTCTCCTAATGTTCACTAGGAGCGTAGTGTTACTTTGAAGTGCTAGAGAGTTCAAATTCGTAATGCTTATAAACACGCTGACAGACCAAGATCTAAATGAGATCTTAGATATATCTACGCAAATCAGGAAAAATATAAACAATACTAATTTCCGAGCTACAACACGAAAATATAGCATATGAACTATATTCTACATAGAAAGTTAACATCCTTCAATATTCTGCACCGCGAATGAGCATTCGGCAGTCGTTAGCACCCGACTGCAACTGTCTTACTTGCTGCCATTTCAGATTGGCGCATTGCTAATCGATTGAGCATCAGTTGTAAATGCTCAGCAGCTGCAACTGCAATCGCAATTGTCGTTGAGGTCAAGCAGAGTCGTTGGTCAACTGTCTAACGGTAAACCGCAGTGGAGCACTGAAGACATGGCCAGCGAGCGGACAAAACAGTTTCGCATTGGCAATGCACAAACCTCGTATAAATAGTTAATTGCCAGCCAGTTTTTTTTTTTTTAGTCTCTCTGGTAAATCTCAATTACATTTAGCTTGATTTTCTTTTTGGATACTTACGCAGCGTGCAGTGTCTTCCGTTCCAGCCCTGGGAGCAGACGCAGGTTCCATTCTTGCATTGGCCGTGCTCCGAGCAGCGGGCATCGCAGGGCAGCTGATCGCAGAGGTTGCCCGTCCAGCCGGTGTTACAGCGGCATTTGCCCGATTCGCAGACGCCATTGCGGCCACAGTCCAAGCTGCAGACAGCTGTAGAGAGAGAGAGAGGGAGAGAGAGAGAAGGAGAGGGATATGTTAAGTAAATTGAGATTCCACGTTCAAGTCGTAGTCTGCTTATTATATTTGTACATATGTGCATTTAAATTCATTAAAGTGCTGCGCAGTGTGACCCCACCCACACACACACACACACCCACCCACGCCCCTGGCAATAACAACGAGATATTTCTACTCGTTACACTTCGCACTTGGCACTCGCTGGCCGTGGCTTATGGCTGTAAAATGTGGCCCCAGCGAGTGAACCATAAAAACAACATTATAAATGTAACATTTACGTGGCTGAGAACCCACCGAATCCACCGGCCCAACCACCACAATGCCCCTGCCCAGCCCCACCCACTCCACTATGCGACGTTGACTTTTGTTCTTTGGCTGCGTCGCAGGCGTAAATTTATTTTATTTGCCCAGGCGAACCTGCGTATTAAATAAATAATGAATTTTTATGAAGCTCTGCTTCATTACGCCTCGACCCCCAACCAGCCGCCCACCCACCTGATGGGGCGTGGCTGTGTGTATTTGCCGCCTGTCGGTGCTAAAAAGTTAAGCAAATTAGGCGTGCGTGCCCACAGACGCGAGTCCTTTTGCCCTTTTGCCTCACAGTGCAGACTCCTACGCGCTGCCGCCGCCGCCGCCTCCCCGACCGCCCCTTTTGCGACCACTTGGCAGCACTCTGGTCTTTGTCGCCGTGTCCAAGTTCAGTTTGCGAGTGGTTACATCGTAAGCTGTATGTTTTATTGGGCCGCCATCCTTCGAAATGATTATGGACCCGAGGCATTCAGCACTTGGCTCCTCCTGCTCCTGCTGCTGCTGCTGCTGCTGCTGCTGCTCCTCCTGCTGCTGCTGCTGCTGCTGTTGTTGTTTTGGTAATCGGTAAATTTGTTGCTGCTGGCTGACTTTTTGGCCTCTTGGCTTTATTTCACTCTCTCCCTCTCCCTCTCTCTTTTTTTTTTTTGACTGGGCCTAATTGAAGGCTCGGCTTTATGGCCATCATCTAATTTGGATTCGGTCCATGCGATAAACCATCATTATGTGTAAGCATACGCAATGCTTCATCTGGCTCCAGCACCAACTCACACCGCCCCGCCCCGCCCTCTGATAATAACTGCATTAGTTGCCATCTGCTTTTATGGCTCACACACAGCCACCCACGACGCCCCCCATTGTGCGCCTCGTCCAACTTGTTTTACAGCCATTCCGCATAAACGTGGAGCGAACAGCTCATTTGATTGAGCTGCCAGCCCAAAGGTATGCGTCCTCATGGACTTTTAGTACTAGATGATATGACATAGATTCGAAATGAATGACAAAGGTATGTGGGGGCGGGGCATGGTGCCGCTGCTTCCCCGGTTGCATTCCCAGTGGGGCTTTCAGACTCCATTTCATTTTGTTTTTATTATTATTATTTTTTATTATTTAATTAGGCTTGCAACACAGCCAGTCGCTGTTTCTCTAAGTCCCACACTCGATGGAAGCGTCTCTCTGGCTTACAAGTCTTTTGCCTTCCAGGACTTTTACAACACTGGAAGATCAGCATATGAAATAGTCCTTACTGAGACCTTTTGAATTACTGCTCTATTTCAGTCTCTAATCATAAGGCAATGCTACTTAGCAGTTCTATTATTATTTAATATTTATAATATATTATATTCTTTGACTTGTCTTGAATATGGAGCTAACTTTCATGAATTGACTTGTATGAATTTGAGCATATTAGCTCTGCCTATTTATATTAAACTATGCTGAAAGACTTTCGAAACTCATATACTCAAGCTAAACTTTGAAGGAGTATTAATTAGTTAGTTAACCTCAATTGCTTCTAGTTATACCCTGAACCCATTTTCAATGGGAAATCAGGGTATAATGGTTTTGTTGAAATGTATGTAACAGGGAGAAGGAGGCGTGGCAGACCCCACAAAGTATATATATTCTTGATCAGGGTGACGAGCTGAGTTGATTTGGCCCTGTCCGTCTGTCTGTCCGTCTGTCCGTCTGTCCGTATGTATGAACGCGTCGATTTCAGAAGATATAAGAGCTAGAGACTTCAAATTTTTTTAAAATGTCCGTAATTACAGCGCGCATATCAAGTTTATCATTAAAAATCGATAACTCATCTCGATCTTTTTTTATCGATAAAAAACCTTATCGAAACCCAGTTATAAAATTATATCTTCTACACCTTTATTGCTAGAGTCTCCAAATTTTTAATGTATGCTTATATGCAATTTATACAATTTCGGTTTTTGTTAAAATTTACCCCCTACCTCTAAATTCACCCCCCACCCCTCACTTTTGTAAAAAGCGTATTTCAAATACTAGAGACTTGTGCTTTGGCAATTACATGCATATTCATGTTATAATCATAATCTAAAAAGTTTCATGAAGATCGTACGTCCATAAAAGAAGTTATTAAACAATTAAGTTCTCATAGTAAGCGCACACTGCAGCCCATGCGTGTTTATCCGTGGTTGCTTGTATGTGTATGTGTGTGTGTATGTGTGTGTGTGTATGCGTTTGTGTCTGTATGCGTGTGTGTGTGTATGTGTGTCTGTATGCGTGTGTGTGTATGTATACCTGTGTGTGCGTACGTGCGTGTGTGTGTGTGTGTGTGTGTGTGTGTGTGTAAGCTGAAAGTCGCGAAAAAGTATTGAAATATCTATTGCTCCAAGGGTTCAGGGGATCTCGTAGTCGAGCAGTCTCGACTAGAGCTTTCTTACTTGTTTTTAATAGGATTTACTTTGCAACTCTTAAGAACTACTAGAAGCACATGGGATTGTCTGCTCAAGCCAGAATTGAAGGTCAGAGCCGGTGTTAGTTAGCTGAGCATACCCGGTTTAAGTAATAGTTAGTATTAGCAGTTGTAGCTCTCTAGAAGCTCCTCAGCTTTCCCACTCAAGCCTACTCCAGGCATGAAGCTGCCCTCAAACTATAAACGAGCATCAGTTAGCAGTTTGTACCCAACTATTTACAGCTTTTCAATGGAATTGCTTGAAGCTGTAGCTGTCTAGCAGCACATCTCTTTGCCTAGGCAAGATATGCGACTATAAATAAGCTCTGAAAGAGCATTACCTAGAAGGATATACCCAATTGAGTTTCTGCTGAAACTGACTCAGGATCCAAGCTGAAATATAAGTCTCAAATCTAACAAATTTACATTAGTTTTAGTACTAAGTCATTTGATGCCTTAAGCTTCAATAGTTTAGCTTTCGACACAGATATTTTGACTTCAAATCAATACTTCAAATTTTTATTTATCATCGATTACCTTTCGCATTTCCATTTCACGTTGCCCCTTTTTATAAAAACTATGAAAATTAAAGTACAAAATCTTGGCAAAATTTGCCAAAAAAAACAAGCATTACCCAAACTTTTGCCCCGCCCACCCATTGTCCACACACATGTTAAGTGCGGGCGCTTCAAACACTTCTCAGCTCGTCTCATTTGAATTCAATGCTCGAACTGAAGAATCATTTGTAAGCAGCTTGTTGTTCGGAACGACACCGGAACACAACAAGCGAAACAAAACAAAAGCGCAAAAAAAAAAAAATGAAGAAGAAGAGGAAAAACAACAAATGGCACACACACGTAACACCCGCAAACAATATACAAATAACACACACACACACACACACACATACATGCACAGAGAGAAACACAGAGTGCAATTGTTATTCCGGTTATTTGTATGAGGTGTGTGTCTGTGTGTGTGTGTGTGTGTGTGTGGGTGGGTGTGTGTGGCACTGCCAGGTGCTCCTCATATGTTGCACTCACCTTGCGAACAATCTGGTCCCGTCCAGTGGCGCTCGCAGACGCATTGTCCCGTCTCCAGGTCGTAGGTGCCATGCTCGGAGCAGCCGGGCAGGCATTGATACACCTGCTGATCAATGGTGCCACAGTCCTCACCCTGCCAGCCGGCCTTGCAATAGCACTGCCCGGCCACGCAGGTGCCATGGCCGGAGCACAATGGATCAAGGCAATCATCTGCACGATTCCAAAATGCACGCCACGATGTCCGACGAGCAGAGCAGTAGCCGGCGGGATGAATTTCAGTTTGTTGTTGTTGTTGTGGTTGTTGTTGTTGTTGGTTGGTTGGTTGGGACGTACGGATGTGAAAGAGAGAAGAATACAAAATGGGTTTTTGTTAGTCGCAAAGCATATACAAATACATAAAAACATACATACATAAATACATATACATATGTATAAAAGTAACATACAATATGTGCACAGATACAACCAACGGCTCATAAGACCAGCTATGTGTGTGTGTGTGTGTGTGTGGGTGGGTTTACCTCGTAACAGTCTTGGCAAAACAAAAGCCCGTCACGAACCGCTGGCAATACATGCCGCTAGCCCGTTAGCCGCCCGCACACACATACACATGCACTCTTGGCACACACCAATTTCGGGGTCAGGTCACACACACACACACAATGGCACACATGACATGATTAGTATGTTGGACACGTACGAAAGTGGTCATTAAAATGAAATTCCAGTTTAGTTCAACTTGGTAATTTTGCGCAGTTGTTGCAATTTTGTTGTCCTCTCTCCCTCTCTCTCTCTTTCGCTCCCACACTCCCGCCCGCTCTTTGACTCCTCTGCCTCTGCTGCCTTCAGCGTCTTCCATGCTTTTCTTTGCCTGCCTCAAGCTTTGAAATGCTCTACACTCAAAGCTCTTTAGTTTTCTTGTGGATTTTTTACTTGTTGTCCTCAGTCATTCAACAGATGTCTATAGTTCGATATATTTAGGAATTTCTATACATGTATATATATAAATTTGGGCAAATTTTGAGCCTATGCTCCATATAAGCTGCGCTTGCATGAGCTATGATATTAATATATATAAATTTTTTATTTCATTATAAATATTCTGAGAGAGTTAAATGATATATTCATATAAATCAATATATATATGTCTATATAGAAATCTAAACAAAGTCCATTTAATATAAAAAATTAATTTTTTTTATTAGAAGATCCAAGTTTAAGCAGAGCTTTCTCTCTGTTTAGTTCAATTTAATATATTTTGCAGATTTACTTTTAATTTTCTTATTTTATATTTTTAATATATGCAAAAAATACATTCATCCGCCATATATACTTTTTTATTTTAATTAATATTATAGTTTTATTTGAGTTTAAAGTTGAAAAAAAAAAAAAATCGAATATTAATGTAAGACAACGTATATATCTATATGATTAAGTTTCCTTTAATATATTAATTGTCATATATAAATATATTATTTATTATTTCTTGGTCTCTTTCAATATATTGTAACTAATTCTCATATTATTAATATTTTCTATAATTTGCATTCCCATTTGTTTCCTATCGATATTGCTTGGAATTTCAAGTTCTATCTATTTTCGCTCTCTAATTTCTGTGTTACATTTTTCAAGTTCTTCGAGCTCTTCAAGTTCCTTCTCTACAGCTAATGAGCTCAGCGACAGATACTCTATAAATTTGCTAATACCTTCTCTCTTTCTGTCCTCTCGCTTTGTGCCACTTCTGTTGCCTGCCTCGACTGCCTCTGCCTTTTCTGCACACTTTTTTGTGTGTTTTTGTTACTTCTTCTTCTTCTTGTTCTTGTTCTTGTTCTTCTTTAACTTCTAGGTCTTGGCTTGTTGAGCGTTTTGTATGTGAAATATGCTTTCGACATATAAATTCGATTCTCTACGTTTTATGTTTGCTTTGTAGTTGTGTTGGTGTTGTTGTTGTTGCTGTTGTTTATTCTGTTTGTTGTTCGCTTGTTTTGTATGCCAAGGGTCCAGTCCACACACACACACATACACACACACACATGCGCAACATGGAGTGGGCAACAAGCCATCACATGTAGAAGTATTCAGCCAGCCAGGAATATATACACATGTTTGTTGCGCCTCTACTTCTTTGTGTGTGTGGGTGTGTTTGTAAGTGTGTGCTGCATATTTTATGCACTTCCAATTTTTTTCGACATCTTTTTTTGTTACTTTTTGTCAGTTTGTTTGGGGCAGCAGCAGCCGAAGCGAGCGTTAAACAGCCAAGTGAGAGTCAAGTGCTTTAATTGACGCAGCCACAGGCCCTTGACCCTGCCACTGCTCCCCCTCCCCCACCCCCCTCGCTTAGTTGTGCGCCCCAAAAAGTATGCAACGTCGTCCGGTTGCCCTTGTTGGAATTGAGAGACCAGCAAAAACAAAAATCAAATAAAATAAAAACACATCCAACACACGAACTAAACGTTGGGGCGGCATAATAACTGAAATATTTTGGCGTCACCAGGACACGCCCCTACTGCTGCCCCGTACACCCGAAAAATAGCGGCAACTGCTGCCTTATCGGAGACCAAAGTCAACATTTGGGCGAAAAGGCCTGGGACCGAAAACAGTTCCCGAAAATTGCAAACAAGGCAAATAAATAATTTTAGCATTTTTATGCCAAGTCAGCAGCAGCAGCACACACACACACACACACATGCATAGTTATTCTAACACACACACACAGATAGAGAGTGGCTAGTTTTGTTTTTCTTTTTTTTTTTTTTTTGGTTTGCCTTGACACTTACGTTGATCGCAGTAGGGTCCCTTCCAGCCGCGCTCACAGTGGCACTCGCCCTCGATGCAGCGGCCGTGGCTGGAGCAATTGGGCACCTCGCACTCGCCCACGGGTATGTCGCACTCGGCGCCCTTCCAGCCGTCCTCGCAGTGGCAGACGCCGCCGCCGTAGTGGCCATGAGCCGAGCAGAGTACCGGACAAACGCCTGCAAAGAGTCAAAATGGGCAAATATTAAAGAGAGACCGGCAGTGTGAGAGAGAGAGAGAGAGAGAGAGAGAGAGAGAGAGAGAGAGAGAGGGAGGGCGGAGGAGAGAGCGACAAACTGAAGTAAAACGAAAATTGGTATTGAAAAGTGTCAGACAAAGCCAAAACGAAAAAAAATAAAGAGAGCGAGAGAGAAAGAGAGAGAGCGAGAGGGAGTGGGAGTGGGAGAGGTGGAAGCAGTGCGCACTGTAAATAAATAATAAAAATACTTTACGGCACAGTGGTGCAAAAACAATAAAAACAACAGAATGCAAACAAAACAGACAGGAAAAGCCAACAAAATTCAATTGAAATTTTAATTTGATATTAAAAAGGCAACGGCGCAACGGCAATAAATTGAAATGAATTTGACTGCTGAGGCACGTTTGAATCGTATATCGATTTATCGAACTATAAATTGTTGTTGTAATGCAAGAGATTTTATTATTTTTATATACGAATTAAAATCATGGCATATAAACGAAATCGATATGCTCAAGCAAGGTTTTTAGTGTGAGCTATCGCTTATCGATAACAAATAAGGCACAGTTAACTTTATATATTTTGTTTTTCACGCAGGAGGATATTCAGGAGTTATGATTTGTTCAAGGTAATTTATGAAAAATGTTATCGATAACATCAACTGATACTATATTCAATTTGTAGGTTTACTGATTGTTGTAATCGAAAATGTATACTGTAAATAAGCTATTATCAGCAGCTTTTCTATGGGATAGCGATGGTGTCTTCGTTATTGCAAGCGTGTATTGTAATTTGAATCAATATCCTCCTGAATTGCTTATTTTATGGTCAACAACAGTGCTAGCGTCATTAAATGTTATCGATATCTGCTGTTGCTCACTTTTGGAATCTTCTCGATAACAAATGGTTTTTGTTTATGACAAAATATCGATATGAATTGACCTTTAATCATTTCTGGCTAGATTGGCTATTAGAATTGATCGATAGAATTGTTATCAAAACATGTATCGATATGTTATTTTCAAGCATAGACCTGGCACTATGCACCACTGTGCGTGCTAAGCAAACGGACAGCTATGTGAGTCATAGAGAGTAGAGTAGAGCTGAGGGTCGCATTGCGAGTGGATTTGGGTTTCAGCTTTGGGTGGGCTTGGTACTGGGGTGCCAAAACAAACAGAAGCAGGTGATGTTGACAGCTCAACTTTGGCGTAAGTTTTTAATTTAAATTGCAGCCGTAGAGTGGACATGGGTCACGGGCGACAAGGTGGAAGGGGCGAAGGTGAAAGATGTTGGCATTAGTTAGATGGGCAGTTGTATGTACTTACTTTTGGAGCAGTCCACGCCCTGATAGCCATCGATGCAATCGCACTTGCCCAGATAACAGCTGCCGCGTCCCGAACAATCATTCGGACAGGTGGTGCTGACGCCCTCGGCCTCCTCGGCGAGCAGCGACACGGAATGGGCGACGAGCTCATCATTGTAAACGGATATGAACCACAAGCCAGTGTCCAGATATTGCAACAGCGACACATTCACGGTCATGGCGTCCATATCAAGAGCGGGCAAACCACCAGCACCACCATCAGCGGCGGAACGCTTGTTCAGTGCGTGTGCCACTGTGCCCGTCTTGCCCTCAAAGTATTCGGCCGAGTCTAGGCCAGCGGGTGATTCATCGCTGCTATCGTTTAAGTCATCATCGGCACGATCCAGATCCTGTTCCTGTTCCTGGTCCAATTCCTCCTCGGAGCTGTTGCTGCGGCGACGACGTCGCAGTTGCAATTGCTGTTTCTCCTTTTCCTTCTCATAAACTGCAGTCAGTCCCAGATCCTTGGCATTGTGGGTCACGTTGCCGGCATCGCGGCGATGTCGCAAATGGCTATCGAGTCGTCCGCCCTTGATGAACTCCACAAAATCGTGCTGAGTCACCGACGGCGCCACATTGCGCCGCGAATAGACAGCGAAGTGGGCGCCCCAGGGCAGCGTGAAGTTGAACCGTATGAAGGCCGGATGCTTGTTGCGAAACTCGAGTGTCCAGAACTGATAGGCCGGTATGTTGGCATGGTAGAGCTCATTGAAGTCCTTCAGCTCCACGACCTGGGGCCACTGTCCGCCGCTCAAGCCAACGCCCTGCTGCTGCTGCAGTGCCGGATGATGGTGGCCCGCCTGCTGCAGCAGCAGATTATGCTGCTGCTGGCCCAAGCCGCCGGCTGCGCCGCCATAAGTCAGTTGATCCTGCAGCTGTGTATTGGTCGCGTCCAACGGCGTCAACGGCTGATTGATGGCGTGCGGTTGCTGCTGTTGGAGCAACAGTTGCTGCTGTATGCCTGTGGCGCCGCCGCCAGCTCCTACCGCTGCTCCGCCATTGTTGCCTGCATGATCCGAGGTGCTGGTCTGTATCGATTCCTCCGTGGGATAGGCGGTGGCACCGCCGCCACCCGCCTGCGCCTTGTTGTCGCCACCCTTGCCGCCAGAGCCGCCGCGCAGATCGTGCGGCTGCGATTTGACATCTTGGACTAGGATACAATTCGAGCTGTCCATGTTCGGTTTCATCGAACTGACTGCTGCGAGACGCGGGCAACACCAGGCATCGAGAAAGAGAAAGAGAATAAGAAAGAGAGAGTGAGTGAGTGAGAGAGCAAGTGAGTGAGTGAGTGGTTAGTCGTTTTGTGGTTTTTGGCTGCGATTTGCTAGCTGCAAACGCAAATGTGCGACCCGGCCCCATAAATCGCATGACTGCTAAATTTAACGCCATAAATCTGATGCTCCTTTGGGCGAGCAGCAGTTGCCGCAGCACCAAGCACCAGCAGCAGCAGCAGCAGCCGCCGCTGGCAATAATGTTTAGTGTGGTGCTGTCCTTGTGGCTCAGTGGTTCCAGCAGCTGCTGTATGCTGCAGGCGCTGCCATTTTCGTTTCGGTCTTCTTTTTTTTCACACACACATAAATTTTTGGCATCATATTTTAACGCCATATTAATATGCACTCGGCCATAAATCAATTCTGCTGCCTTCTCGCTCGCACACACACACACACACAGACACACACACACACACATGTATCCAAGCTAACTCTTTCGTGCAAACAGTAAAATGCGCGTTGTTAACACGTTTGCATTTTGCCAGCCATCGATGGCCGATGGCCGATGGCCAATGGATGACGGCTATCGTTTATCGATAACACATGCAATTTATGTTCTTTGGCTGCGGCGCCAGCTGTGCCGCACGCATTTATCTGGGCCATGTTGCATAATGCAAGCCATAAATGTTGGCCGCCAGCGCTTTAGCACCAACCTTACATCATGATTGAAGCGCATTTTGTACACAGTTCAATCGGCGATGTTCTTTGACAAATTTCTCGCGCTTCTATGTTCATCTTCAATAAATTTAGTGTACTTATGTGCTTCATCCAGGAACATAATCAAAAGGAAACATATTTGCCTTTCAGTCATCATCAATCAAGCTCAATGCAGTAAACAAACAATCCATAAGCACAGCTAGAAGAACTTTTCAGAGCCAATTGTAAGACCCTCGTTTCTTGGATATATGAACTTGAACCTAAGATCTGGAATCTGGAGTCTAAGACCAATTATTATTATGGAAATCTAGGAATAAAACAGGATATGGGATATATAATCTAGAATGTGTAATCTATCATGGAAGAGTCTCGGATCCGGGATATACGTTCTAGGATCTGTGATTTACAATCTAAGATATAGGATATATATGTATATATAAGATCTAGAATCTGGAATAGAAAATCTAAGATTTAGAGTCCAGGATTCTTAGCAAATACAGCTCCATCAAGTGCCCAGCCAATCATGCTCAATCACACAAAACATAATCACATTTTACTTCTATTTGCTCCCATCAATCAGCGCGTCTAGTCAATGCCATTAGCATAAGCCTGTTGCAATTTGTTAGCATTGACTTTGGGCAGCATTAAAAGCACTTAGAATCAGTTAGCAACAGCATGTCGATCAGTCAAACAATTATAAACCAATCAATCAGAACAAAGAGAGAAAAAAATGATCATTGCTTTTCTCCTATTAATGCTCAGCAATGCAATTAAACATTGGAGAGCGACAGATAGAGTGAGCGTGAGAGATAGAGATGGAGTGGAAATAAAGCAGATGGAATCACGAATAGAAAATGGGAAACGGGAAATGGGAAATGGAGCATGGTAATGTCGACTGCTCGACATGTAAACTAATGCGACCTAATGATGTCGCTGTCGTTGTCGTTGTCGTTGACGTTGACGTTGTCTATGGCCGATGTCTTGGCACAGTGCTGCAGACAAAAGGACCTACACACACACACGCGCGCGCATAAACATACATACTTATATACTCATATAGGCACACATGCATATACCTACGCAATTACTCATGTGAGGCACGACAAATTAACGTCAACGAACGTGCTTCAATTTGGCTGTTGAGCTTTTAATTTAGGCGAAGCACACACACACGTCGACACAAACACACACACACACTGACGTATATAGGCAGTCACAGACACATGTTCTATAAATATTTATAAGAAGCCTACACTAAACAAAAGAACAGAAAAGCAGAAAACATCGACTGAAAGACATTTTAATTATCAAAGTTGATTGCTTGATTGATTGATTGATTGATGAGTTGATATAGCTGCCTGTTTTCGGCTCCTTCATTATTTAAAACGTTGCTGAATCTGAATCTGTGCAGCACTTAATAGATTAGTTCAGCTAATGCTTGAGACGCCTTCGATGTGCTTCAATCAGCAGAGAGCAAACACAACAATTCAAGGATTCGCTTGGCCGTGCCAAGTGAAGGTTGATGCAAGTGAATTTGAAATGGCATACGGTCTAAGGATATTAAGAGTATTAGATATCAAAATAGCCTTGAAATTTGAGAATATTTCTTATCGATTGTTAACGTTAATTTGAAATATACGAAACTTTGCTAATGATTCCTTATTTTATTTTATTTTTTTTTTATAATTTTTTTTTTTTATTAATAATAAGTGCTGAAACCATGCCAACAGAATTGATGAAGTGTAATGGATAGGCCAAGCAATTCATTAAAAACTTCGTAGACTTCTCTTGGAAAAGAAAGCAAAAAACAAAACCAAGTGCGGACAGAAATACTTTACTAATTTCGCTGGCAGCGCTAAGTATTTAAGTTCTAGAATATTTGATTCGATGTGCCAACCCCTCAAATATAACATAATGAGCAGGCAGAACAAACAGACAGACAGACAGACAGACAGAGACACATATATATGTATACACATGTATATATAGTATATGTGTCTAAAGGAAAGCCCATCATTAATAAATAAAGAGCTCGTAATGGAAAGGGAGGGGTAGCTGGAGTGCTACGAATTTGAGGCAGGATGTAGTTCTATTAAGTTAACAAGCATTTCATTTAAGTGGCTCGCAACTGGTCAACCAACTGGAACGGGGGGAGCGCGCAAGGAAGTGGGAAGAGGGCAGCGGTAAGCGGGAACGATAACTAAAACTGGAACTGGAGCCTGCTGCCAAAGGACACGCGCAGCACAAGAGACAAACAAATGCTTGAGGTTGGGGCTGGATGGGCTAAAAGAAAAACAGCTTGGCACAGTTTTTCCGCGCCTTTCTTGGTAGCCACACAAGTTGCCAGGAAGGAAAGAGAGTGAGAGAGGGGGGGAGGGAGAAGAGGGTGGTGGGAGCTGTGACACAGGACCAATTAAATTTGATTACAATTTGTGGCGAAGCCATGGGAAGCACATCACATACAATGAAATAAGCAACCCTATCAAGCTGTGCGCCCAAGGATATTTACTTAGCGAGCGGCGAGGGAGAGGGGGTTGGGGTCTGTGGGGGTTCTAGAAAAAGTCGATAAATTTATGTGTGTGCGGGTGTGTGGGTGGTTCGGTTAAATTCACAACGACTCAATTTGGCAGGACTGAGAATAGATACTGGACAAAGGACAGGGCGGGACAGAAAAGAGCAGGACAGGGCAGGGCACTCCTTTTAAAACCGTTATTTATATTTAGCCATCAGCTAAGCCCACACCGAAAGGGTGTGTGTATTCGATTAGTTAATTTTTTATTTTACTCTTTGCCCCTGCCACGTTGCAACATTTTGGCCACACGCAATAAGCGGAACCGGAAATGCGAGCCGTTAAGATCAACTAATTGAATCTACGTGCTCCAATGCCAGCAAGTGGCTCTTCAAGCTAATGAGAGCGAGGCAGCGAATGGGAGTTGAAAGTTGAATAGTTGGAGAGAGGCTGGTGGACAGGGGGACGGCAGTGGAGCGGGGGCAACGGTTGGAAAAGGGTTGCAAAAGTTGGCCATGTCCTGGACAAAGTTACAAAAATTTATGAAGCATTTTCTTAATTGCACTTCCCTGAAGAAAAATAATTTATTTAAACGACAAGCGCACACCTTTACCTCCTCCCAGCGACACGTTGAGGCGCCAGCTGGACATGCTCGACTGAGAACCGGCGGTCAGAGAGAAGGCGCGAGCGGGTTAGAGGTCACGCCCTGTAATAGTTGCTGCTACCGTTGCTGTTGCTGTTGCTGTTGCCGTTGCCGTTGCCGTCGCTGGTGCTGGCTGTCAGTGGCAAATGTCGTGTTGCGTCATTTTAATTGAAATTTTCTTCGGAAAATTCTTTTTCTCTTTTGGCAATTGGCACAAGTTTTAATGGTGCAAACGGTTTGCCAACAAAACGACATGCACTTGAAGTGCGGCCATTTCTTAACTCTGAAACTCTGTTAGCTGTATCGTTGACGGAGCAGCAGACAATGAAACGATTTAAGGAGCTCTGACTTCACTTCAAACTTTAAATGTAATTGGAAATTGAAATATTGCTTAGACTATTCACGCCCCACTATTCTACTCTCTCTCTACTATCTTCACTATTTACACTATCCATTAGATCGTCTATCCACTATTTATTCTTCACTGTCGATTCATTATCCATTATCCATTATCTATTATCCATTATCCATTATCCATTATCCATTGTCCATTTCCATTAGCCATTTTCCATTATTCATTATTTACTATCTATTATCCATTATGCATTATCTACTATCCACAATCCACTATTCATTATCCATTATCCATTATCCATTATGCATTAGCCACTATCTACTGTCCACTATCCACTGTCCATTATTCACTATCCACTACTCACTATCCACTATCTACTATACATTATCTAGTATCTACTATCCACTATTCATTATCCATTATACATTATCCACTATCTACTATCCTCTATTCACTATCCACTATGCAACAACCATTATCCATTATCCGCTGACGATCATATACTATGCACGATGCATAAGCCATTATTATCCGCTATTATCCAATGCTGAACTCTCCCATCTCTATTCAATGCTAACTATCCACCCTTTACTCTACTTTCCATCTTCGTCTCTACTCTCTACCTTCCTCTCCTCCATATCCTCTATGCCCTATCCCTTATACACTTTCCACTCTCCAGTCTATCCACTATCTACTCTTAACTGTCCACTGTCCCCTCTGCCCACTCTACTCTTTTTCAAGCAATTCTAATTTATTGCAAATG